TCAATGACAGATCCATAATACTGTTGTCAGAAGAGTCATGATGTATTCTTGCATAGAAAGGCAGAAAAAAAATGTGTCTTGACTTTTCCAACTACCTAACAGCAAAGAGGACTCAGCAATCAAAGCAAAGAGAAAACTAAAGAAAAGTTCTCTTATTTTCAAAATAAAGTGGAGCACAGCTTTCTGAAAAGAACTTACTAACATAGCCCCATAGCTGCACCGAAAAGTCCGCTTCTGCTTCTTTGTTCTCAGGCTGAACAGGGTGGCTATGCCTAGTTGTTTCAGTCTCTAGCTAGTCCAGAACTTTTTCAGAAAACAGACAGCAGACTTGGCATCTACAAACTAGACTGAGTTTCATCAACAGGGAAGGAGTTTTCTCTTCTTCATCCATAGTATCTGACATCAGGTCTGGCTCAGAGTAGGTATGACAATTTTTATGGAATCAAGGAAGAAGAAAGTAGAGATTATGATGAACCAGCCTGTCCTAATACACTCAGGGACACTCTTAAACTACTGCTTCAGAAGTTGGCATGTGCTTCTAAGAATCAAGATGATTCATTCCGATCAGTAAATTTCGTATATGATGAGATGCAGTAGTGCCTGAATTGCTAGTGATTCTTTTATAAAACTAATTTCTTTCACATCAAGCCTTGGCACATTTCAAAGCCAAAGCAGTAATAGAATTCTGTCAGTCACTTCCTCCCTTGACCTGTTTCCTGCTGGTTCAGGCTATTTATAATATATGTTCATAAACTACAAAGTCCAGCAACTCAACAGAAAGCTGAATCTTGCACTCTCAGAGAGGTAGATTTGGGTACTAAGCAAAAACAGACTAACTGAACTATAACACTGGGCATTTCAGCACTTCTCTGTTTAAAAATAAATGAGCATTTCTGAGTACTAAACACAGCAATGATGACAAGCAAGGAAACCCAACCCAGACGAGGTCACCAATAGTCCATGGCAAAGCAGTCCCAATGGCAGTTCTGTGCCTCCTGTGTACTCTATGCAGATACACTCACTCTCTTTTCTCCAACAGAACTTGAGAAACTGTAGAGAACACTAAGCCCCAGCCATATTTCTTACTAGCTATCCAGGTAAATGGAGAGGTGGCAATGTCAAAGATCAGATATTTTCCCTATAGCACGCCATTAACTTGCATTGAAAAACTTTGTCAAAGATAACTCCAGAAAAGAAAATCTTGATAGTGTCAAAAACTTTGTCCACATCCTTTAAGTGTCTTCCCTCTTAATGCTACCCTTCTATTCCCAACCAATTACCTGGATAACTGGAGGGTTGAGGACTCGCCCTCCGCTGTCCTAGGCCCAGCACTGTCAGTATCCTTAGCACTAGACTATTGTTTCTCCTCTTCGAGCAAGATTCTGTTGGCATTAGAATCTCAAAGCTCAGGAAAATTAAAAGGCCAAAATAGTGTGTCCTAAGTGTTGTTTCGAGAATTGCTGGTGTTTCTAAGATTACTGAGCCAAAAAAATTGTGTGGTGATCAAAGAAGTACTTTGAAAACACTGCATACAGTATTGTCCATTTGGAAAGTCACAACACATATTGGAAAGCTTAAAAAAGTTTTTTTTTTTTTCCAAAGAAAACCCCAAATAATTTTCAGTTGGGGTAAATGCATTCAGGAACAGTAATCAGCTGTTTTTTAAAAAAGGTGATACAGATCTCTATGTACTATTATGAAAACTTCTAGGCATGGTAACTAAAAATCAAGTCAAATTTCTGAACATGACTAATATCCCATTAAAACAATCTAAATCCTATATGTGTGTTTTTATATAATAAAATACATAAAATTCTAAAAGGATGTATACCAAATTATTAAGAGTGATGGTGTCTGGGGAATAGGATTGGGGAGAGGAGGGAAACTTGCACTTTCTACTTTATAGATTTTGATATTATTTGAATTGTTTCATCGCTCTGTTATTACTTTTATAATAAAAAATCAAAAGCTATATTAAAAATATAGACATAAAATTCAGCAGTAAGTACATCTGTTTAGCTTTAAGAGAGCACTTCGCAAGCTCGCAATCACTGAAGCTGACTTGTAAAGCACCCAAAAACAATGTGTGCAACAGATTTCGAAGTGACTATGCTCAAGTCTCTCCCCATCATCTATCAACATACTTTAACCTTCTGTGACCTTCTGTGACTGAGTGAGTGAAGGAAGCAGGAGGAAACTCAGAAATGATCTGACACAACGCCCTCACTTTTGAAATGAAAAAATGAAGGCCATGAATAATTAAAAGTCTTGATAAGATTAACCTGAAGCCCATTTTCCCACTCCAGCTCCTTCCACATTACTGTTATGGTCACCAGGTGACTTAGATAGGCCATGATTCTTGGTTTTCATCAAATATCCCCAGCACTCACGGAAAGTGTTGGGACCTCTGAGTAAGCCCTGACCTAAATGTTGTCCCTGAAGTCAAAGGGAGAGCAGGGTTCTGAGGACCCCTTCCCATTGCCCTGTCTTGTTCCACACCTTTCTAAGAGGATGTAGGTGCTATTTTAAAAAAGGATACAGGAAATAGGTGGTGGAAAATACCATGGGACTTGAGGGAAAGTAGTATTTCTAGTGAAATATAGGAGATTCATGCAAGCATGAACTTGCTCACTCAAAACATCACTGGCTGTTGGGCAGACCTGGGTTCAAATCTGTCCTCTTGAGTCTGTATTTTACCAGCATCTAACACTGGTCAAGTGTCCTCGTCTTTGAAATGGAGATAACTGTGAGCCTCAGTTTCCTCATCTCTAAAACAGAGATAGCAGTGTGTATGTTATAGTTTCTTCTGGACATCAACTAAGATGATGGCTAAGAAATTTCCTAGCTTGAGGGAGCAGAGCAGTTAGTATGTAGTTAGTCAAAACATATTAATTCCCATCTTCTACCTCACGCAGTCATCTGTGAGTCTTCATTCCCAATGGTATTAATATTGGGTCGTGGGAAAAGTCACGAGGCATAGAAAAACACATCATGACTTTTCTGACAACCCAGTACTAATCCTGGACAAGAGGCCTACGGAATGTAAATAAAACTTGGTATCTACACTTGAGAAACAAACTGGCTGGTAGAAAGGGTAGCATGACATGGGAACAATTAATATGACAAGTGCGTTGATAAAGTGAGTTCCAGGGTGCCACCCACCTGAGCACCAGGGCAGTAGTCAGCCAGCATCTACCATCCTGGGGACCTGGCATGGGAGCTGCCATAAGAACGCAAGAGGATGGACTGCAATCTTTACAACCACATTATACAGATTTCTGGAGAAAACTACAAGGATCATAGCAGTGAAGCCCATGAAAGTAAGTATGAGCTGGGAGGAACCAAGGGGCAAATGAAAAAAGTTAAGAACAGGCTTTCAGGATCTGCCACTTGCACTCAAACTGTCTCCATTGTTTCTGTGCCAGCTCAACATGGCTACCTCAGCTTTCTTATCCAGGGTGTGATATCAATACTACTTACCCCATAGGGTTTTGGTGGGAAGATTGAACAAGGTAATATCTTAAAGACACTGAGCACAGTGTCTGGCATCTAGTGAGGGTGCAGAGAAAAAATGCTTAGTGTTGCTATTAAAGCTATTTGGTCTGTGAGCATAAGGCCCAGAGACAATATTACTGACATTTCAAAGGCACAACAGGTGTTGACAGAATGGACACAAGTCACATTGGTTCAGTAAGTCTCAGAAGAGTAGGCAGCGCTACTCTTATTGGAATCTCTTGGAAACTTAATACTGAATCCTTGGGTCTGGTTGTTACTGCAGTGTGATCTTGGGTGAACTGTTGAACCTCAGTTTTCTATGTAAAGTGGGATGATAACGTCAACCTTTGGATTAACTGCTAGAATAACAAAGGCAATTACTTCTAAATAAATATGGCACAGTGCCTGATACAAGAAAGTTTGGATTCTGTCCTTTCTTACCCAAATTAGCAAGCTAGAGAGGAGGACTAGTCAAAAAAAAATAGTATTTAGATATCGATTTAATGACAATATCAATGATAAAAAGTTAAAATGAGGAATCTGGAGTGGAGGATCTTAGAGGTTCTCTCTCAGCCATAGTCTATATGATTCTTCAAGTGATTATTTTGATCACTTACCTTAGCTCTGCCTCCTAATAAATATGACCTTTAGCAAGTGACTTGGCTCTATTTTCTCTTTGGTAAACTGTGGGTAAAAAACTGTACCTACTTCTCAGGACCACTGTTAGGATTCAGTGAGATAAAGCACCCAGAGTTTATGCTTGCCAGCTATCAATATTGTTGAAGCTACTGTAAGGACTAAAAAAGACTATGTGAGGTGTTTGGCACAGATACTGCTCAAAAATATTACTACTACTTCTATTATCACTATTGATTTTACATTATGAATGGCTATGCTCAAGAAGAGATACATGCTGTCAACTAGATAATGTCACATCAAAACATAGGCACCAAGAGATATCTGGATAATTAATGACAGGCCTGCCTCAGGATAAAAACTTTGTGTAACAAATAGCCTCATCCAGACCAGAGAGAGCATGGGTTCACCCATAGGGCATAGCAGGTGTGGGTTGCCCTCTCTCCCAGTCTTGAGGGACCACACATGGAGAGTGTGTCCTGGTATCTAAGCTTTGCAATGGTTCATCTCACAAAATAGTAACATAACAACATCGTGGCCTGAAAGGACACTGCTCTGCCAAAGATTCAAAGCTATCCAGAGAGTATAGTATTTCATTCACCTGTGTGATCCTATGGGGACAGGGTGAGTAGGTAGTAGGTATGAGCACACATAGTTCACTCATACATACCTTGCATTTGCTCCAACAGTCTGTCAGTGATGAGAGGACCTGGAACCCAGGCTGTGATCCCTGAAGCCTACGATGCCACGACCTACCTTTGCTAACACATTGAAGGGGATGCGAACAGTGTGATCGGGCAAAATGTGGCTCCCTTGGTTCTGCCCACCTTCCACCCTTTCCCAATCAAGGAAGCCAGCTGCAGGCTCACCTGTCACTGAACTGAACCTCTTCTCCGTTCCTGGCCCAGCTGATGGTAGGCCTTGGGTTGCCTATGGCTTCGCAGTGCAGAAGCACACTCAAGGTCCCACTGGCCAGGGCCACAGTCTGTCCCAGGTGAGTGACCACCTCCGAGGCGGAAAGTTGCTGGGCAGCAGAGATCTTCCGCAAGATGGTGGGCTTGCGGTGTGGCCTGCGAGACGTGCCTCCAGCTTCCCCAGAAGCCGAGGTCCGCAGAGAGCTGGTGAAGCCGGACACGTGCTTATGAGGAGGGATAGCCACGGGCGGTACCCTCCGTTCAGAGGGCTTGAGGAGCAGGTCCTGCTGCTCCAGGTGGCTGCGGGAGATCTCCTGGGCCAGCTGAGCCACCAGGTGCTTGCTGTAGAGGTCGCGCAGCTCCTCGGGCTGCTGGGAGAGGTTCCTGAGGATTTCATCCAGGCGCGCCTGCTCCGTCACCATGGTGAATGGGAGGTGCAGGAGGGCCTGCTCGGCGTTGGGATCCTCTTCCGAGGATGCGTTCTTTTCCGTGGAGTCCTGCACCTCCCAGGAGGCCAGGAGCTCTCCTGGCCAGCCCCCTTGCTCCAGCAGCCGGGAGACAATGTCATCATAGCGACTTCCTGGGTCGACCGAAAGGCCCCGCTTCTCAGCCTTGCTGCCATTGGAGAAGATCCCGTTCTGGTGTTTGTGGGTTTGCAGGGCCTCCTTGGGGCTGGCCTTCCTCACCAGGAAGGCCTCTTCCTCACTCCGCAGGCTCAAGGGCCGGCCCACCAGCTTGCGGTGGCCACTAATGAGCTTGATGACGAACTGCTCGCGGGCCGGGCCAGCGGAGCAGGTGTAGACGCCTGTGTCCGAAGGCCGGAGGCGATGGATCTTCAGGTAGCCGAAAGGGGCCACGGTGACGTGAGCCGAGCTGATGAGGTGCTGGCCGTCCTTCTCCCAGGTGATGAGGGGTTTGCGAAACCTGCGCGTGGGACAGCGCAGCACCACGGCGGTCTTGGGCAGCAGGTAGGCGAAGCCGCCCACCACGAAGTGCAGCTTCCTCTGCCTGCGCGTCTGGATGTAGACCTTCCGCGCCGCCGCGATGTGCGGGCTGTGCTTGGTGGACGGCCTCCCGGGCCCTGCGCAGGGCGGACACCAGGAGAGCAGAGCGGAGACGCAGGCAGAGGGGGAGGGAAGGGCGACGAGAAGAGACCAGAGGCCAGGACACAAGAGACAAGGAGAGAGTGCTTCAGAGCTGGTTTTGGCCAGGGCCGTCATGTACCACCCTCTGTTTTACGGGAGGCACTGGCTACCAGCTGTGGACCATCAAGCTGCCACCGCAACCCACACTGGAGGCCTAATGAGGTGCCGTGGGGCAACCCTCGTGTCACCCTGCTGGGTCCTCCTGCCCCCTAGAAGCTGAGAGTAGGGTTCTAGTTGGAGAGGGGCCCAGGGGAAAGGCAGTTCCTCTCATTAAAAGCATTTAAAAAAAGAAACCAGCATTATAAAAAGAAGTAGAGGACAGAAAAGGAGAATATCCCTGGCTAAATGTTTACCTCTGGGGTCCTGCAAAGCGTCAGGGACCTAACGTACACGGCGGGGGGAGCCCAGAAGTGTTACGACTCCAGGGGTTAATATTAAACAGAACAAATCTGTTTGGAGTAGTTTAAAATCCCCGAGTGGATCACATTGGACTTCATTAGGAACGCGCGGCCTCCAGCTTCCAGATCTCTCTATGTCGGCAAGTGAACTTTGCTCTAGCCCCTGCAAACTGGCTTTCCAGGGGGAGAATTCAGCCTGGCCACGTGTAATTAAGATGCCTTTTCCGTCTCCAGCTGAGCTGTCCAGCCTGCGCCCTCCAAGGGCCCTGGCTGCTGCTAGATGGTCCCGCCTCCCACCCCGGAGCTACTCACTTGCACAGGTTGCCAGCATACAGGGCCTGATAGAGGAAGAGAAGGGCAGGGGCGGGCACAGGCTGGAATTGACAACAGTTGATACCCCGGTTTTCAGCACCTTCCGGCAAATGGCGCTCCGAGTCTGGGTGCCCTCCCCGCAGCTCGTGGAACACTGGCAAGGAAAGACCAAATGCGCATAAATTCAGGGAACTAGAGGCTAAAGGCCTTTTAATGTGAACTCTCAAACGCATCAATCTATGAGAAAAATGTTTTAGAAAAGTGGCAGCCACCGAGAGAAACACTGTGATGTAACCTCAGGAAGACTTGTCCATCTTGTAGCCAGTGCCACTCTAGCATTATCTTCCATTCTAAGGTTGCCTTAGACTTTTTACCTGTTTTTACTGATCAAGGTTGACTTTAAAGTAATCGAGTCTTGTGTTCAAATCCCAGCTCAATATTTCATTAGTTGGCAAGTTTAACTCTCTGATTCTGTTCCCACTTCTTATTTTGTAAGCCTGAGAATTAAATGAGATCTTCTGTTTTAAATGCCATACACAAAAATTACAATGCTAGTTCCTTTCTCTTCACAAATAATTTCTTTTTAAGAGTTTTTTTTTTTTTTTTTTTGCTATAGGACATATGTGCTTGACAGAGAGACAGAAAGTGAGAAATCCCCCCTTACCACCAGCAGGGGGGATGGCTATGCCACAATCCCTCCTCCTCCATTCTCCTCCTGGGATTTTGGGCACACAGGCACACATGCCTGGTGTAAGTTTCAAGCCATCAAGTCCGAGACTCGAACTGTGGTCAGCCATGTGTCATCCAGTGATGTAACCACTATGCCATCTACTGGTCCCAAATGATGATATTTTAATGTCAAGTGTTAGTATTTGTTATAAAGCTATTTCAGCTGAGGTGGGCTGTTAGATATTATGGAGAAAAGATGTGCAAGGAAGTTCCTGACTGCAAGGAACTGTCATTCAAGTGAGGGGGAAGACTCTAAATGCATTTTTTTAAAAGAATTATTTATCTTTATTTATTTTTATTAATTTATTTTAATTTGACCAGAGAGGGATGGAGTGACAGAGATAGAGGAGGTGTGAAAGCAAGCTACCAGGTCTGGGACTTGAACTGCAGTTGGTCATGTGGGAGTCCATTGTCCTTAATCACCATGCCATCTGCCAGCCCCTCCAAATGCATTCTTAAAATGAAATAGTATTATTTATTTATATTATTATTGGGTTATCTGAAAAGTTATGATGCATTTTTGCATAGAAAAATATAGAAAAATACATCATGACTTTTCTGATGACCCAATATAGTATTAGGGAAATATAGATCAAAATCACAATGAAATACCCGTTCATATTCACTAGAGTAGTCATAATAAAAATGACAGAAAATAATGAATGTTGTTGAGGCTGTGGAAAAATCAGAACCCTCATACACTGCTAGTGGGAATGTAAAATGATACAGCTCCTTCAGAAAACAGTTTAGTAGTGTCATTAAAAAATTAAACATTAATTTACCAAATAAGACAGAATGTCACTTCTCGATATCTCCCCAACAGAAACACATCCACACAAAGCTTGTGAGAGTCCATAGCAACATTATTAATGGCCAAAGACTAAAAACAGTCCTGGAGCCATTGGTTGTTGAATGAATAAACAAAATATGGTATAGCTACACAATGGAATATTATTCAGGCATAAGAATAAATGTAGTTCTTAAATGTACTACAATATGGAATAACCTTAAAAATATTATGCTAAGTTTAACTTTCCTTTTAAAAATCATTTAAAAATTTTAATTATGATTTCTGGTGGTGTACATATAATTGATGTACATCTTTATGGACTACAGAATGTTTTTAAGGCATGTGTACAGTGTACAATAATAAAATCAGGGATATACCCATAGTCACTTTTTTCAACATTGAATGTTGCATTATGTGGCACACATTTGTTAATGGTTCTACTTTTTGGGAAATGTATATTAAATTGCTCATATTTTTATATTTAACTTTCTAATATGTAAATTATACCTCAATAAATACATTTGTAGGATGAAATAGTAATTTTAAAATTTAGTAAAAATATAAAGCTAGAAGCCAAATATAAAATTAATGCTAATGATTGAATTCATATGATACACTAGAGATTTTCTGACCTAGATTTTGAAGTTGGGTAGAGTCTGAGTGGGTATAGTGAAACAGGGATAAGCTTGGGAGGCAGGGAAATTTCCAGAACAAATGTAGAAGAGTTCATTATCAAAGTACAAGGCAGACTTGGGGGCAGAACTAAACCAGTTTGACTGAATCGAGGGACCAAGTGGAGAGAAGCAGGAGCTTGAGAGGTAACAGAGAGTCAGACTTTGGCACTTCTAATTTTTGAGAAGAGGTTTGGAATTGGTCCATAAAGCAATTGGAGGCCATTGTAGAAGGGAGTGACATGATGAAAGAGGTGTTTTGAGAAGGTTAATCTGGCAACAGTGTATAGGAGGAATGGGAGTAAGAGATGGATGGGAGGCAGTGGAGGAGGCTGCCACAGTAGTCCAGGCTGGAGATGAAGAAGACCTGAACTAAGGTCATGGCAATATGCCATGTTACCTTGAAAAATGACAATTAAAAAAAAAAACAAACCAGAATCAACAACAAAGAATCTTAAAAGTGTTATATGTGGTCATGTTGGAATGACACTATTTTGTGTAATGTGCTGTGATACATGGCACCCTGAAAGAAACTTAAGAATCAAACCCATTGCTTTTGTTGTCTGAGGATCATGGATTCCAGATTCTGCCTATCACTGATTTTACTGTAAATGACAGCACCATATCCAAGGATCAGGTGGAATGGAGGTGAGAAAACTGGAAAATTTTATAGTACGGGCATTTTAGTACTGCCAATTAAAAAAAATAGGTTGAGAGTCAGATGATTGGACTATAGTCCAGTCAAGTCTACTTCTTTCTGTAGTTTGAGTTTCCACATCTCTAAAATAGGAAAGCTAAACCACAGCAGAGATTTTTAACTGTATTCCATATATACTCATGCAACGATTGAGGGTTTTCTCATGTGATGTGGAAACCTGAATATTAGAGATCTGAGACCCCTTCCCACACTTCAACTAAAATAACTCTCATTTTAACTGTATTTATTTTTTTGGTTCATAGTAACATTTCATTTGACAAAATAATTCTAGGCTTTTGTTAAAAAACAAATAAAAAAATAAAAAACAAGCCTACAACAATCAGACTGTAGGGTCTTCTAAGTTTCTTCTAGTTCTAAAACTGACTACCCTGACATTAATTTCTTTTATATTTTTTGAGGAAAATAACTTCCATAAAAATATGACAAAATATTTAATAGTTGGCTCTTTTAAGAGATTAAAAGGTTTCTTTTAAAGAAAAGTAGAGCCTTTTGAGAGGTCTTATTTTGAGAACAGAATCTGCAAGTAATTTTATTTGAATTTTCTAAAACTTTGGCTTAACTCTGTCTCTGAAGGATTCTGTGCAGTAACTATGAAGTTGAGTCCAGAGAGTTGAGGATGAAAAACGCCCATAGATCATCCAGGTCTTCCTTTCTCCAAAGGGAGTCTTCTGGGGGGTGTGGAATGCATATCTCATCTCAGCCAGAGGGCCAAAGAAATGACCCTTTGGATGGCAGGTCCACCATGGAGCCTTTATGAACACCTCCAGAAGCACTTTTATATGGCACCAGCTTGAGTTTAATCCCAGTGATTTGATTACTTTCCACTGTTCTCCACCTCTCCCTAATATTTGGAATTTCTACTCATCAATTGCTCAGAACCTAATTACACTCCTGTATTAGGTCTAACTACTCTGAGTTCTCCAAAAGCAACTTCTCTGTTCTAGGAAGACCAGCAAAGCCTGTGGGAGCCTGCAGCTGTGGCTCTTGGTCCAGTCAATGTTAATGATTGCTTTTATTTCTTCTCTTTCTAACAATGAACATGGATAGAAGAACATCATAATATTAAAGATGAACTGTTACTAGGCATGACGTACTTTATATGCATCATTCAAGCTTCCCACCTATACATATATTACACAGATAAGCAAAGTAAGGTCTAGAAGGGTTAAGTTGTGAGCCCAAGGTTATACAGCCAGTAAGTGGCAGAGTCAGGCTTTGAGCTTAGGTTTAATTGTTTCTGAGTCTGAGCCTGTTTACTTAATGTGACCCATGGGACCTCTGTTCAGTAGTCTGTTCTAATCACAAAGGTCCCTTCTACAAATCTGGAGACAAATGAGAACTTTTTCTGAATTCTCCTTGTTCCATATGCTCCAGAGACCACAACTCCAATGATAATTTGCCCAAGTCCCTAACTCAGCATCCCACACATAAAAGACCTAATCAACTTAAGAGAGAAACACCTTTGATATTTCACTGGGAGGATGTCTTCATCACTTGACAAACATATCTGTATTCTGTTTTGCACTATCTTTGTTATTTTTTTCTAATGTATAATATTATACCCTGAATCATTCCCATGGAACAATTGTTACTTATGTGTCCCTGAACATGTACACAGATGCATACACTTGAATACACATGTGCTCATTTTACACTCTTTTAAAATTTAATCCTGAATCAAATTGTTTCTTTTTTCTTCTTTTCTGTTTGTAATTTTTGCTATAAGGTGTATGTCTTGCTGGAGAGATAGAGAGAGAAAGAAAGAGAGAACCCCCCCCCCCACATGTGGGATGGCCAAACCATAATCCCTTCTCTATTCTTCTCTCAGGATTTTGGGCATGCATGCACATGTTCATGGTGTGGTTTTCAGACCTCTGGGTTTGGTACTTGAGCTGCACAGTTGGCCATATGGGATGCCCCTGCCTTAACCTCCATGCCACCGACTGGCCCAGAAATCAAATTGTTTCTAAAATGTGAAAAATCAATCATTCTACCATCTGTTTCAAGACATTTGGGGTGGGATACCACTAGAGAAAATTTTACTGCTAATTATAAAACCCATGGTAATGTAAGTTAAATCTCAATTGCAATGCCTAAGGGCACCATCTGATGGAACTCTATATAAGTTGATAATACAAGGAACAAGAAGTCTGAGAACTATGCTGAAAGAACTGGCATCTTAATGTTCCCAGGTAGCTTTCTTCTCTGGAAGCAAGTGTCTCTCAGCAGCAGCTCTTAACTGCATGTAATACATTATGCCAACGAGGCAGTGGGGTCAGGAAGGTCAACTAAAATGCTTATATGCAAGAAAGGGAAAGCTCTCAAATATGTTTTTGACATAGAGGTTTTGCTGCATGTCTAGTGACTCTGTTCTTGGCAAAATTTTCTTGTGAGGCAATAATGGGGGCGGGGTGCAGGAATTTCTCTATGGAGGACACATGGACCTATGGAAAGCGAGGAATTGAACACAGCTCAAAGAATTAGTAGGGCCTGATAATATATGAGTTGAAGTTGGTATAAATGAATGGATTTATGATAGTGTTAGAATAGAGAGTATTTAGAACCAATAGGTTAGTTGGAGGTATATCTCTCACTTATGGGTAAAGCCAGGCACAGTGAATGCTGATGCAATCACTTTCCAAAAGGCAGGACAACAGGGAAATCAAATTCTCTTGCTGGGAAGTTGTTGGTGTTTTAGAGCCAGGAAACTGACAGTAAAGAGGCAGGATTTCCTTGGCCTTCTTTTCCCTAATAAATCATGTCCTTTATTGTCCAGTAACTTGGAAGAGAAGAACTAGAGAGGCTTTGGCCTTCCTGAGTGGAGACTAGAAACAGCTGGGAGTAGGAGGTGCAGAGAGGTCAGGAGAAGGGGGTAGGGAAGATATGGAGAGAAGAGCCCCGTGTTCTGAAAGGACTCCTGGGCCTAAACAGCATGAACTAAGGAGGCCTGATTTGGGTCCTTGGGAGCAATTTACAATTCCAAGCTTCCAATCATTGAGTAAGGGCTGGCTGCAAACTCCTGCACCAGAATTAAAAGCTAGTTACACACTTGGTATAAATGGACTAGTTAGAAAAATGGTATAAATGGTTGGAAAACACTGTTCTATAATACTAGAGTTGTTTTGTTCTCTTCTTGCCTTTTCTGTGTCCCTGTCTAGGGGAGTGCCTTCTTTTCCTGCTATATCTCTTTTATTCTTTCCTTAGGAGGATCATACACACCTCTGTCCAGTCTGAGAGAAGCCACTCGCTGGGGCAGTCATCTTTCTTGCAGGCTTGCTGGGAGGGTGGTTTTGAGGCTGAACAGAAGGTCTCAGGAAGCTCCAGGAAGCTGCCATCTGCCATGCGTTGCTTGCAAAGAACCTCACGTTTCTGAGAGCCCCCTCCACAGGTCCTGGAACACTGGGGAAGGAAGGAAGGAAGGAAAAGAATGTCTGTCCAACATAGGGAGTCTGACTGCCAATTCTCACCTTAGCCTTGGCTGATTAAGAGTGAAAAAGGAAAAAAGAAAAACAATGGAAAAAAAAAAAAAACACAAATAGAGAAAGAAAAATCGGGAATCAGGCCAAAGGATTTTGTTTTCTCCCTTTGAAATGAATTTTGTAGCAAGAGCTATATACCCTCCACTATAATCCCAGGTATTTAACTAGAGTATTCAGGAATTTCAGGGCCTTTAAATCTTAGAAAGTTGCTCCTGAACTATGATTTGCAGCCATCCAAGACAACTGGCTAAAAAGGTTAGTATAATAGAGAGTTCAACATATTTATGATCCAGTGAAAATAATCTATGCTGCTTCCAGAATGAATGAGAGAGCTCTTGCTATCATCAGTATAAATCTGGAGAAATTAATTTGTAGAGAAGACAGTCCTTTCTCTTCTAAGTGTAGGCACTTACTCTACCACATTGAAAGGGCATTAGATTTAGGGCTTGGTTTTCTAAAGAATTCCCTGGGTATACTTTTCTTGCAGGATTGATGATATGTAGGACATTAGGAGCCTCTGAAATTTGGGATGCAAGAAAAATAGCCTCATTTCAGTGGTTTTCAGAGGGACCCCCAATAAAACATATTGTTTACATTAAAGTTAATGATTATAATACAGCTGCATGAAGGGCAAGGGAGGCCCCCTGAGGGACAGACTGTTGACTGTCTTTAAATATTTGTTCCTGCCATTTCAAGAGCAAAGGAGCCCCCAATTTTCAGTGGGGTGCATGATTTTTCAGCATAAAGATTATATTTTCAAACCTCTCTTAAAGACAGACACAGACATCTGACTAAGAGCTGGCCAATGAGATAGAAAGGAAGTGCTGTGTGTAATTTCAGGGAAGTATCCGTGAAGAGAATGTGCATCTTTTCTCCTCCCTTTCTCCTCCTTGCTGGCAGGAATGTGAAGTTTAAGCTTTCATCTGAAACTATGATAGGCCAAAAGATAGAAGACTCGCTTTCTGATGGTGTTCCCACCATGCCACTGCAGATTGCCTGTGTATGTGTGAGAGAAACACTTTTTATCTTAAGTAATTGCTATTTGGGCTTTTCTATGACTGAACCAGATATAACCCTAGTTATTAAAAATAAAGGAGGGAGTTCAAAAATTCATGAAAAAATAAAACAAAAGTGTAAGTTTATTTTGATGCAGAAAATTTTGGAATCCATGCATATGTTTGATAATATGCATGTTCCATAAACATTTGAAGACTCCCTGTTTCATTTTATGACTACCCTATGTTGGGAATAGGTGATTGCAAAAATGTTCTGGGTGCTGTTTTCTTCTGGAATAGTCTCTAGTCTTTTACTTGCTACTCTTGGGCTTGCTGAGAATTCAGGTCTATGTTTAAAACATCTGAAAGTCTGTGCTGAAGGAGTTGCCCCTGTTTCATGGTGATCCTCTCAAAATACACACGGTTTTGCCCAGGATCACAGTGGAGAATTTCGTTCACAGTCCTGGTTATGATGGTATGATGATGTCCTTGTACACGTGTGACACTGCGAAGGGCCAGCTTTCACCCTCTTACTCAATGGTCACATTCTGAATTCACCTGAAAATCAGCTTTGGAGCTTTAAAAAAGTCTTGATGCCTAGGCTCCATTTCAGACCCATCAGATCAGCAATTCTGAGAGGTAGGCCTCAGGTGCCAGGTTTTTGCTGTGTTTTGTTTTTAAAAGGACTTTCCTAGTAATTTTCTCCTTAATAATTTTATTGTGCAGCTAGGGTTGAGAACCATCTGTCCAAGCTAGTGCCCCTCCACCATTCCCAATAAAACCAAAAGAGGAAAATCTAGGTCCCAGAGAGGCCTCTGTTAGGGCCAGGGGTTGTCTAGACCCCACCAGAGCAAACACACTGTTTATTTGAAGTGGTGAATGACTGGAGGTCACAGAGCTACTAGATAATGACATTAGAAAACTCCCAACGTTGTCTGTTAGCTCCAGAGTCTTCTAAATGATCCAAACTAATGGTGAACAACCTTGATCTAAATTTTAAAAATTTGAAATGAAAATAACCCTACTGAGTCCTATAAAAAGATAATATATTTTCTTATGGCAGCAATCAACTATCCACCCACAGAAGGCTCACAAAAATGGTAAAACCACCCTATGAAGTAGACCTAATCCCCACTTTATAGATTAAAATAAAAAGCCAAGGCTCAGAGAGGTGAAGTAATCCAACTAAGACCACACGGGGACTAGAATTGGTTTATTTCCACACAGCACAACATCCACTAAGTTCCTACCTGCACCCTATGCTCTGGACCTAGCTGAAGAACACACCCAAGCTCTGCTTCCCCCTCTGTGGTTGTAGCAGCCCCTCTCTGCTTGCAGAGCCAATTGAGGGTGCACTGACTTCTACTTTATGCTGAAGCTCAAACCTGATACATAACAAGCCTGCCAAGAGCCTGATCTCACCCTCTCACCCCACATGGAAAGACGTAGTGCTTTGCAATACAGTCCTAGCCTCCACTCTCGTCACCATCCCTAAGTGGCAAGAGCAGCTCCAGGATGCAAACTGGGGACCAGCATTCTAAAATAATTCATCTACTTTGTGGAGATCTGGGAAATGTATCTTTTCCTAAATTGTTGGATTTCTGAATTGAAAGGTGATATTTAAATATAGTTCCTAGGCTATATCAGGAAGCCAAAGTACTTGTTATTCATCTCAGATCCAAAAAGTTCCTTCTAAGGGCTTTTCTAATGTGTATTTTGGCCTCGATTAAGGAAAGAAAAAATGTTGGTCTCAGAACTTATGACTCAAGTGAGTACCCTAGACCTTTGACTTCTCTGGCTCATTTCAATGACTCCCTGGACTTTTCACTTATTGGAGAGGCAAATTTTAATTTGAGTTCTTATTTAGTAGCACTTGAATATGATATTAAAGGATTTCACTTGTGTAACTCATTTTGTACCCACACTGCTGAGAACAGGACCTTCTGTGATGCATTCACCCAATAAATGGTGTGGCACTGATTTGGAGTTGCTTGGAACAAATTTAAATGAGTGGCTAAGAATTCCACTTCCTTAGAATAACCTTCTGTAATTTTGGGTAACTAAGGGTTTAAATTTGGTGTCATAGTCTTTTGCCTTATTACTTAGTTTCAACCTTCTTGTATTTCTGTCAAATTCTCACTTCAAACCATCCAGTTATGCTACAATCAGATTAGTCATAACCTTTTATTGCTGTCTTTTTTCAGAACTCTTTTAGGACCTGACAACTAATAATGAGGGTTACTGACTCCTAAGGACTTGTCAAATATAGGGACTGTATTTTCTACCATAATTTCCATTCCGTGAATGACTAATTCACATGAATTAGTTTCCATAAACTTAACATAATATTTGGAAACTATAATTGTCTGAAAGAAACAAGTTTATGCTGATCAATTAAAAAAAATTTCAATCGTACATTCTGACCCTTTTTCTGTGCTATGTGGCTTATCCACTTAAATGCAAATGCGTATCTTGACTCAAACATGTCCTGAGCTGGGCCTGGGGCCTAGTGGTTAAAGGAGCCAAATTCCACATGATGACTGGTTCAAATCACAGTCACAGGGGCTTGGGACCAGCAGATGGCATAATGACTGTGTTGCTGGACTCCCACATAGTCGACCACAGTTCGAGTCCCAGACCCTGTGACTTACACTCATGCCAGGCACATGTGCAGTGTCCAAGATCCTGAGAAGAGAATGGAAGAGAAGGGATTGTGGTGTGGCCATCCCCCCTGGGGTGTGATTTCTCGCTTTCTGTCTCTCTGTCTGTCTCTGTCTTCCTAGCAAGTGCACACACCCTATAGCAAAAACCGAAATGCCCCCACCCATAAGAAAAAACCCCTAAAAAAAAAAAAAAAAAAGAAACACACCACAGTAGCATATGATTGTGTGTGCCCCAAATCCTGACAGGATGGAGAAATAGAAAAGATCATGGCAAGACTACTCTCCAGTGCGGGGTGCTTTTTCTTTCTTTGTATCTCTCTCTGGTGAGCACACAGGCCTTTTGGCAATTAAAGCGTCCCAGATAGAACTCTATATACTTCCTTACTTCCTCTCCAACCTTGCTCTGCTTCTTGTTCACCGTTCCCCCTCATCCAAGGCAAGAATTCAGGTGGACAAAATACATAAGCTCTACTTCTAAAATAAATGATAAATCAGGATACAGCCATCTGTTGTAGACTACTGCAAAGCTTATTAACCAGTTTCCCGGTGCTGAATATCTGTGTCACCTGCAGATTCACACAATGACTGCAGTAGGATATGTAGCCCCAGCTAGGTGCTACTTTATAGGATGTGTAAAGTTAGACTTGTGTTCATGGAAATGTGTGTGTCACCTGTGTTTGCTATGAGGGTATTTGGATTGATTAGGGTCTTTGGTGATTCTATAAAATGTGGGGGGAAAATGGTAGAGAAAGCAAACATAGATAACAGAGACAATGTGGGAGGAGACTGGGAGATGGCAGAGGGTAAGAGATAGGGAATCAAGGATGGGGGGAAAAAGCAAAACATACAGAAAACAAGAAATGGAAGATCATTTGCTGACAATAACATATTTGTTGATGTGCTTGATTGAGACAATATACAGTGTACTCTGGATGGAAAATCTCATTTTGTATGCTGTAATGATGTACAGTGAATGAATGCAAATAATTCAATTGAAATAAAAAAAAAATCCTAACTCCCAAAGTAATGGTGTTAGGAAGTAGGGCCTTCCGGAGGGTGGAGCCCTCCTGAATGGGATTAACACTCTTATAAAAGAGGCCCAGAGAGCTGTTTCATTCCTCTCATCATGTGAGGATACAACCATAAGGTATTATATATTATCTAGGAAGAGGGCCCTTACCAGACATGAAATCTACTGGTGCCCTTATCTTAGACTCCCAGTCTCCGGAACTGTAAGAAATATATTTCTGTGGTTTATAAAC